ACTTCGCTATGTCGATGTTGAGGACGTTCAAATCCATTATAAAGCTGTACAAGTGTGTTAAAAACACGCCCATTTTAGCACTGTAAGGTTTAAATCACTAAGAACTATTGCTAAACACAATCAACATCATGATCAGGAATATTTCACATAATCTGAAGACGAGCCGGGCCTCGCTTTTAGTTTGTAATTGGTTACAATGTGATTTATAATGATGCATGATGGTATGATGCATTAGACAACAACTTGTGAATTTTAAATAGCTTTTTAAATAGATGTATTTCCTGAATTTGGATTGAATTTGATTTGAAGTAGCAATCCGGAGGCAGAATTGGAATGTCAATCTAAGGAAGTAGAATTAAAATCAACAGAAATTCATTTGTCATTTTTAACTAGAAAAGCAAAATTGACAACCCTTCTTTGAAAAAATTATGAATAAAGTAAAAATAAACAAACTTGAAGACAGAATAGATAGAACAACAGATTTATATATAGTTCAGATTCATGGACAGATTGACATACCGATGGACAGACAGAAAGCTAAATAGACTGAACGATGGACAGACATACAGATAGACTGGCAGAACGATAGACAGACCGATAGATAGAATTCTTAATAGACAGACAGATGTATAGATAGATACCGTAGATAGACAGATAGAATGATGGACAGACAAATAGACTTAATAGACGGACAAACTGATAGACAGAACGCTGAATAGACAGACAGACAGATGGACGGATAGCTAGGCAGATGGATATGTGTACAGAAAAAAAAAAAAAAAAAAAAAAATTATACTGTAAAATAATTTCACCTGTAGCGTTTAAAATAAAAGTTTTAATAACACCCATAACATGGAAATTATTATCCTGGAAATTATTGATATCAGCCAGAACGTTAATATCGGTACTCATTAACTATAACTTTTATTTACTTGTCTAACACTTGACAAATTGACCAAAATGTCCATCTGTAGTCAGGAAGACCAGAGAAGGGATGAAGAAATGAGAGGAGAGGGAGACAGAGAGAGCGACAGGGACACGACGTGAATCTCTTCTCGGCAGCTGCAGTGAATGGCGTTTAATAATAGGAATGATTTTATCCTCCCTCCCAACAGTCCTGCTCCATGTCTTAAGTAGCCACCATGATCCACACACAGCCAGCCTCGCCATCCATCATCCTCCAGCCGAATAAGTGACAACAATTTCCTCCTGAGTCCCCGTTAGAGGCGGTACTCCTGATTATCTGCACTCTCCGAGAATGGAGCTCTTCTGCCGTGCCACTTAAGATCATCATACAATTATGCGCCCCCCGTGTGTCCTCGCTTTCCGAGAGCGGAGAGGTAGAATCGATGGGGGGACAATGGGAAACACAGTGATCAGGGCCTGAGAGGATGAGATCAGATCAAGGGCGTCTTTGAACATGCTGATTGAGATGTCAGCGCTCGGCAGCTCCGAGGGAAATTAGAGGATATCTCTGTGATAACTGGGTGGAGGAAACTCAGGGTGCGGCACAAAGCTCAGAGGCCATATTCAGCACCAAGTCCAGTGGTTTGCTGCACGTCAAAAAAAGCTAGAAAATACTTGTTTCTAAAGATTGGCATCTTGTGACCCCGTTCACACGTACATCGCGTGGACATTGTTTTTTGGGTGATCTGATAACAAGTGATAACTTCTCAACACAGGTATAAATGCATGTGATCCAATCATACAATTGAAGTGGAAAATGCATGTGACAAAGTCGCATTGGTAGTAAAAGCATTAATGCATCGTGGAGGACGGCCTATTTCCCTGTCAATCATCTAATGTGCTAAAACGAGTGTTTGAAAGTTCCTAAAAGTCCATTCAAAAGCCTGGGGTCGGTAAGAATCTTTCATGCTCACCAAGGCTGCATTTATTTGATCAATTATACAGTAATACAGTGAAATATTATTCGAATTTAAAACAACGGTTTCCGATTTTTTCAAAAGAACAGAACGATCCGCACTCCTTTTCTTATTTTCAAATTTTACGTTATGCGACACAGAAAAAAAAAAGTTATTTATTCCTGATGGCAAAGACGAATTTTCACAAGCAATTTCTCCAGTCTTCAGGGTCACATGATCAGTGAAGGCCCCCTGAAATCCAAATTTACATTTTTTAGCTTTTAGTATGAATATGTTAGCCTTAAGGTTATGAATAAGCTGGTGTGTTTCAAACCAATGACAAAATTCGCATTTAGGAGATATAAGCATTCAAAATTTACAGTCTCTCACTTTCGCTAACGGATTTTTATGACATCACCGCGGACTTCAGCTTCTCATCACATCTTTTGTCCAATCAAATGCTCTCTACAGTCTAAAGCGTACCGCACCCTATGCTATAAATACCACCTGGCCAAAGCAACCGTTGACACGTTATGGAGCAATATGGGTTGGAGACGTGAGTTCAGTTGCTTAAAAGCTCGAGTTTTATTCCCTTTATCAACTGTACATTGGTTAAGAATGAAATGGCTAAAATTTATTTACACCGACCTCTACCATTGAATCCAACGTATCATCAGACCTCGGATTTGCGTCCATGCTGCTGTCAAGTACGACTTGCAGTCTGTGAGGCAAACTAAACGCTATTGGCCATTTGAAAAGAGGGAGGAGCCATTCAATATGTCCAGCCTTAGCTTCCCGTTTCAGTGAAAATTACGTCGACGCATCATACAAAGTTACGCGTTCCAAGGCACTTTAGTGGGCCTTTCAGAAACCATTCAAATATGCCGATTTGGTGCACAAAATTAATAGTGCTTAAATATTTGAAATGCTTCACATCTGAATCTTTTTGAGCTTTATTAACATGCAGCAACACACTGACACTGATAGTAAGTGATGTGCACTCTAGAAAAAAGAAAAACTTTCCATGACAATAAAAAGTGGTCAAAAGAGAGTCCTGCTAAAACCAGGAGATCAAATCACCTAAAATGGATCAGAACAGAATTATGTCATTTTGCATATGATGAAACCACTGAATGAAAACCACGACAGGTGGGCGCAAGCGGACGAAATGTTCTTATAAAGAATAAATATAAAGACATAATTATCGTCATTGCAAAAATGACATTGTGTTTGTCTTCTTTCATGTTGGAAACTACATTTAATAAGTAGGATTGACATAAAAGCCTAATTAAGATGGACTCGAGCAGCTTGATAAAGAAATGCCATGTAATTTCCGCTGGTTCTTAAGCATGTTCTAGTTCATTTCGCACCTTGTTACACTAATTAACGGCTGAGACCACGACCGCATGAAATTACAGCCAACAAAATCGGCGGCTTAACAAAAGGGATTTTGACAGTTCTTGGACAGTCTGAAGGCAGGTGTGAACACGACATCAAACAATAATTACGTCTGTCATTGAGAGGCTCTGTATGCGCCGTGCACTGACTCCTCCAAAGCAAAGCAATACGGATGGAGAATTCAAGCATGAAAACCATAACCCGGTGGTGACAGCTTTCTGTTATCATGCCATCAAATGATTCCCAAAATCCTTCTTTAAAGAAAACCTACATATCATGATCAACAAAATGTGAAGTTGTAGAGTGATTTGACAGCTGAGCAGAAGACTGTGAAGTAGACTGGCCTGTGTCAGAAGACACTGATGCATAACCGAAACGCTTTACATTCCCATCAAGAACTGACTGCATTTCAATGCGTTGATGCTGTCGATCCTATAATCTCTTCGCCGAAGCAGATGGTTTAAACTTTAAATACACAAAAAACATCCGCTGACCAATCCATCTCGTTTACTTGAAAATTCAATAGCTGAGGTACTTTGACATTTAATGAGATTAAAAGAAAAAACTCAATTGCAATAAGTGGTTGAGGAGTCCATTAAATCAAAAATCGAATTCAAAACATCTTTAGGTGTGCCATTTCTGCACGACTACCATCACCACATGGGTAAATAAGTATGGTGTAATAAGTATAAGTAAATAATAAAGACAAATAATTAAGTTTTGCACAAGCATGTAGTCCTACCACCAAACTCACGCCATCAGTCTTTTGAGAGGACCACAGAAAAACTGGTTACACTTTCTTGGGATTCAGCCTACTTTAAAAACATCCACAGTACAAAAACTTGATTTTCATTTTAGCCAGGGATCATGCAATATGTTGTATGAATAAATTAAAATCCATCATTTTTAGAGCAACAAGTGAATTTATGCATCACAACATTATAGTATGAAAAATAGATATTCATTTTGAGATTTGCTAAAGAGTACATTTAATTAATTAAAATATTCACTTAAACTTAGTAAACATAAGTACATTTTAAACTTTAAATGAGCGTTAGATAACGGCAAAAGTTAACGGCATAAATAAATGAAAACACTTAAAACTAAAAACCATCAAGTGAATTTAAGCATCACAATATTATCAAAATGGATATTAATTTTGAGATTTGCTTACACTTTATACAGTGTTATTAAAGTTTTACTGTTTTTTAGGGCTGTCAAACGATTAATCACGATTAATCGCATCCAAAATAAAAGTTTGTGTTTACATAATATATGTGTGTGTACTGTGTATAATTATTTTGTATATAAATGCACACATGTATATATTTAAGAAAAATATGTTATTTATATATAAAAAATTTATATTTATATAAAATATACATAGGCTACATTCAGTCTATATACATTATATACATGCAAATATTTCTTAAATACACATGCATGTGTGGGTATTTATGTATTAAAAATAATTATACACAGTACACACACATATATTATGTAAACACAAACTTTTATTTTGGATGCAATTAATCGCGATTAATCGTTTGACAGCCCTACATAAATATTAACTTTAAGAGAGGATTATATGAAGCAAGAGTGATCTAAATGTAAATGAGCATGCACTATAAAAATACCAAATGTTAAAAGATAGCCGATAAACAAAACGAACCCCTGATACACTGATAATGGATAACCATTAAAGTTCCAATACTGTCACATGTGAGCTTGACAACTTACTGCTGGATGCGCTGAAGAGGAAGCAGAAGCAAGTCCTCAAGTTTCTGCTGATTGAACTCGGGCCTCGACTCCTGGAGCTTTTTAAACCGTCTGAAGGCTTTGCTTTTCTTCACTTGAACCTGAGAAGGAAATGAACCATGAATCAAAGATCTGCTTCCATGAAAACAACTTGATACAACAGTGGAGCACATTTGATAATGCAAGCGATAACACTGTTTACCTCCCACCAACAATTTCACCTCTGTCGATGATGCATGTGGCGTGATGTCTATTGAATTGTGTATTCAGTCTCGCTTGTGACTGAATCTCACTCATGCACAACGAGACATCTCTGTTGTCTCTTATCACAAGCTGTCTTCTGAATAGAAGCAACCCTGGTTTCATTATTTAATATACATCCACGCATATAATGTCAGGCTAATGACAGACAGAGTCTGAATTAGCATTGCAAAATATCACTTCTTTATGTAAAATTTGTTTTGAATTGTGCTTCTCTGAGAAAAGCATGGGTTGGTGCTATGTTTGTGTGCTAAGTAAATAAATAAAGATATCAAGTACACAAAACAATCCATCATCTTCAAACGGCCCACACCGTGAACAACACCTGCTCGGCTAGCATTTATGGCCGAGGCAGCTGGGGTCTCCCTCTGAGAAACACACTAACATTAAATCACAACATGTTGGACATGCTGTGAGAGGAATTCTTTATTTAGGCCAGCCAAAAAAAAAAATATCTTAGAACGAATCCTGTCATTTTAAATTGCCAGAAAGCTTTCCACATTATAAAATAATAGGAAAGTCATCAAAACAATAAAAGAGTATAATTTTAATATTAAAGTGTATACAAAATATAATTTTTATAAACAAAACAAAGCAGTAATATTAAACTGTTTTCATTATTGATAATAATAAGAAATGTTTGTTGAGCACCAAATCACCATATTTGAATGATTTGTGAAGGATCATGCGTGAAGACGTAATGATGCTAAAAAATTCAGCTTTGTCATCACAGGAATAAATTACATTTAATAAAAAATATTAAAATAAAAAAGAGTTCAGTCTCATTTGTAAGCATAAGAGAGAACAAGAGACTTATTTCAAAAACAATCTTAAGTCCAGTTCACACCAAGGACAATAACTATAATGATAATAACGATAAAGATGCGCCCCACTTATAACAAAGACAATGATATCGTCCGCTGGCGTGTATGCTAATATAGTTATATTTATAGCTATCGTTCTTGAGCCTTTGCGACCCTAAATTTTTGAACGGTATAAATAAGGCAAATATCTATTTATTAAGTTAATTAATAAATGTCTAATATTGGTCATTAACTCGTGTAGTATATCATGTATCACTAAAATAAATTGACTTTAAAAAATCTCATTATTATGCATTTACTAATATTATTATTGTGCCAAATGGGACAAAAAAAAAGTTTATTTGAAATTTAAAAATAAACTATTTGGGAATGTAAAAGGCTCCTTTGTTGATTATTTTTTTGGTGCTATTTTAACTATTTTAAAGAACGGTGGATCTTGAAGAACAGACTAGCCATGTTTGTGACACGGTGAACATGCCAGCCCATGTTTCCAGCAATTACAGCCATGTAGGCCTGGCGGAGTAATCGATGCTAACTTAAACAGCTCAGTCTGCAATCAATGGGAATCGGTCAATTGGCCACAGACGTATTCCTCCTCTTAATTAAGACATTAATATCTGTGAGGCTCCAAGCTTCCCCCAGCTAAATAAAAGCATAGTGTGGCTAGACGAGGCTTGGAAGAGCTTTGCTGCAGGGCTAACACTCGAAACGACCTTTCTGCAAACATATATTCGGTATCAGACGCAATTACTGGCATAGTACGAAAAAAAATGCCCCTTCGGTTCACCGTAAGCACACAGAATACAGAAGTTAGCACTAGCTTGGCGCTCCGATGATTCTTTAACCGCTAACTGATTTGGTCTAACAAGGAATCAGTCATCCGTACACTTGGGTACAGGTGCCTTGCCGAGGGAGGAGCTAATTAGCAAAGAGAGAGACTCCCCATCGCACTTTTTTCCGGCCGACTGATGGAGGCTGCCCACTTAAGTCAGGCGTAATGAGATGGTAGTGTTGGACCTAATGGTACCGCTGGGCTTTGCCTGGGAGAGATCTGTTTGCACAGAGTGTCATCCTAAAGCCTTAATCAGGTAGGTGACTCCATTTTTTTTTCACCGTTCCAAACGTCAATCATTTTGAATGGTGATCTTTGAGTTACTGACCCGACATTTTGTCTTCTCTTCTTTTTTTTCCCCCCACAAGGTTGAGCCGAACAATATGGTACGGTGAAAAAAGGTGCCAAAGATGAGGAGTTGTACAAGACTTAATAGGTTTGGACTAATTAGAAGTGGAGCATGACATACTGTCAATCCTATGCATTACCATAGATCTATAATGAATACATATTCATGATTTCATATTGATAGACATAGCCACCGGCTTTTGTGTAAGGAGATGACCTCTATCCAGGTAAAAGAACACATTCACTCAGGAAAAGCCAATACAAATGATCATTTGATTGAGTAACTTTCATAGCAGGTGGAATAATAATTAGACTTCCTTTAAAGAGCAATGCAGAATCAAAAGAGGAAAATGACACAGTCAGAGAAATTGTAATACTTAGTGAATAATAACTAATCTATGGCAATGTTCAAACAGGTATTACTCAGGCCATACACGCAAAGAGTAACATACAGAGTAAACACTGAACTTTAACTTACCATGAGGACTTTTTTAGCCGTCTGGATGTTGTCAACGTAAGTATTGTACAACTGCAGGTGAGTGCAGAACTCCTCAAACCCGACGCCAAACCTCCCCAGTTCTAGATGAGTGAGTAGGGTCCTGTTAAAAACAAAAAGAAGAATTGAAAATATGATTTGCTTTAAATGGTGTAATTTAGTAAGACTTCATTGTATTTTTCATACCTCAAATGCTGTAAATTAAAATAAAAAATAAAAAATATTAAATACTAAATAAACTCATTAAACACACACATTATATATATATATATATATATATATATATATATATATATATATATATATATAATATATCTATGTATTTATTTTATTTATGTATCTATTTATTATATATATATTTATTTATTTATCTATTTATTTTATATATATATATATATGTGTGTGTGTGTGTGTGTGTGTGTCTTGAGCATCAAATCTATATATATATATATAAGTGTGTTTTTAATATGTATTTAATATTTATATATAAATATTGATATAATTTATATATATATATATATATATATATATATATATATATATATATATATATATAATGTGTGTTTAATATGAGTTTATTTAATATTTGTATATAAATATTAATATATATACTACATTCAATTTTATAATTAATAATTTGTTTTATTAATTTTTAAATGATTCATCTAATTATTTATATATACATATAAAAACATACTTAAAAGCATACTTTAAAATTGTGTCACCTTAACAATTAAGTCCTGTTAACTCAATAAATACATAAAAACGTTACCCTACCCTGCAGTCTTGCCATCGCACTCCAAACGCAATGATAACCCTGATACTGTTTTGGAAATCAAGGCATTTCTTGTCACAAATAATGAGGGGGGTTAGTTCAGAGGCAGAAGTATTTGCGAAAGGAAGCGTTTTTAGTCAGATTTGTGTGGTGTCATCCGCGGGCCCCTCCCTGTGGGTGACATACTTATTTAAGACAAGGGTGCTGGGGCTACCGCCCAAGGGCAAGCGTGTGGTGCTTTGTAGCGGGAACGCACCCATTGCGAAACCAGGAACAAAACAAGGCGTTCAAGAGGAATGGAAGAGTTGGTGCTCTGGCTGTCAGGCACATTAGGGTGACATGGGTATAATTCAAGGGTGAGGGTGTTGACACTTGTGAGGGAGCTTATTATCCAAACTAGGCGAGGTAGATATCGCACATACATACCGCTTAGACCAAACAGAAATACAGGTACGGATACACGCACACACTCTCCCTAATGATGTTCCCTGAGACTTTACGTTTTTTACATGCTGGAAGAAGGAGCATTTTGCGGTTGAAGTTGATTTAAATAGATTTTAATGAAGTTGCAAGCCAAGGTAGCCTCTGTTCATAATCAGGAGATGCCAGAGCAACCGAGAGAGTTCTAACGAGGGCAAAGGGCGGGAAAAATAGTGTTTCCTTTTTCCTCCTCACAGCCAGAGGCTATTATGATAAATATGAAATTATGACTTACATTTTTTATGCTCTTTTTTAGGGCAATTAAATTCTCTAGCCGTCAGGAAGATGACAAAGATAACATTAGCATTCCTCCTGCGTCACGTTAATCTACATTAATGCTTAGCGGTTGCGACATCTGGGTCGGGCACGGACTCAACCAAACAATGGAGGCCTATGTGGCTTCATTTGTGGGAAAACGAGAACCGAGGAATACTAATTATCGCCTATGAATAGTTAGCAGGAACACAAACACTCGTAAAAACACAAATCCGTACAGGACCCAAAAGCATCGTTCAGTTTGTTGGGAGACCCCCTCCTTCCCTCGATAGTGACAAGGACCCTCTTCCTACATTTCGGAGACTATTTGATCTCTTTCCACACCACATTTACTGTCATTAAGAAAAGACACCCCAAGATGCACTCGTTCAGAATATTTATCTCTCAAATACGTTTTTGATTCAGTGCTACTTAAGTGACAGCACTTTCAAGTTGGTGATCACTGTTACGGTGCATTCTGGGATAATTGGGTTGTTCCCACTATTGCCATATTCCCCTCATCAGATAAACAGGCATAATTCTGATGAATGGCAGCGGCATGACAATATATTCAAGTCTTGTTTGTTTGTTTGTTTGCTTGCTTGCTTGTTCAGAAGCATTTCATGAATCCAGAATGTATTTAAGTCTTTACCGACCCAAGAGTATCATATCATGTACAAAGAATGAACTTCAAACCAACTGCATCCTATTCTTTTAGGCTTAAATATAGCTGACAGACATTTTTAGATTTCTTAAGATGTCATCGCATTAACGCCGTCTTTGAGGCAGGCAACCATCATTTTTGAACGCTTTTATTGAAAACTGGGAAACATTGGGTTGCATTGTCCTTAGGTTATATAATTACTCCAAATATCTCAAAAAGCATAAGAAAAAAATACAATTATTTGAAATACATCAGAAATGCAAAATAAATTCTGCTAAATGCATAAAATGTGGTAACAAATTTAAAAATGAAAATAATTTTATCACCCTCATGTCATTCCAACCCTGTATGACTTGCTTTCTCCTGTTTAACGCAAAAGGTTTTTGAAAAATGTTACAGCTGTGGATATGAGAGTGGATAATGGCACAACAGCTGTGTGTGAGGAACAGACCAAAAAGTTATTTACAAAAACAAACGTTGCCATGAAAGTGATAGCCGTCACCATTCACTTTCACTGTATGGAAAAGAGCAGCTTGGACAGCCTGCTAAATATCTCCTTTTTCATTCCACAGAATATATAAAGTCAAATGAGTTTTTGAAAACATGAAAGTGAGTAAACAACGACAGGATTGCAATTTTTGGCTGAAGAGTAAAATCTACTATGGTTAAAATTCATATACTAAAAAGTGCATATTGTGCATGACAAAAACAAACAATCTACGGCTCACCTTCTGCCCCCGTTCTCTATTTTTCAGTGTTACAACTAGTCCGAGATAAAAAAAATGATGATTTCAGCTAAGGATTGAAATAACCTTCAGCAGCCAGCGCAGATATCAACATGCATCTGAAGAAGCTTCCTGATAACGATGTGGTTTTGGAGTACGCGAGCACTTTATTCGTTTTAATCAGTCAGCCACTGCTGTCTGTTCACAGATCTAAATTGAGAGACTGCCATTACGCTTCACCCGGCACTTCAATAACCGATTCTAATGATGATATATGGTAACCAAGCACCGATTTATCCAATACATCCGGCTCTAAAATTCAGCCCTCCATCTTCATTCAGCCACTGTTTGTAGAGAGGCCCGTCAATCAGGCATTGATGGGAGCCTCGGGGACCCACGGTGATTCATTATTCAGACAATTTTATGATTCTCGATCAACGAGGCCTGGATGAAGCCCTCAAAGGCAGTCAGTAGTTCCCCTTCCAGTCGTTTGGTAATTCGAAATATGCACACAACGAAACCACGGGGCAGTAACTCTAACGAGAACTTCGGCCAATTCAAGACTAATGAAATATCTTTCACCATGTTCCTCCTGTTGGGAAACGTCTCTCCGAGCTTGTCAGGCAAATTCTCTGAGATTGATCAGGTTGTTAAATATATCAAACACTGTTTCACCTGCACTAAGAAGCGATGATCTCTCTAATACAGGCAGGCTATTGGACATTAGGAGAGGGCTTCTGCTTTTGCTTGTTGCTTTCAAATGTGGTACATCAAAACACCAAAAGCTTCACGAGAGCTCTGTGCCATAGATAGCCTCAGATAAAATGAACAAGAACAGGCTTCTTGACACCTGTGAGTTAATTTGTTGTTAGTCTGCCCAGCCCGCATGGGAAGATCAATGCCGACTGCTCTTCAGGCCAGTTTTTCTGATGTATTATTTCATCTTCTGCAGCTCTGACTTTTCATTTGCTCAAGCTGTCATAAAGGCCCCTCAAGCAGAGTGTCTAATCGTCTGTATGCGGAAGAGTCACAGCTGGGCTTCACAACTTAGCATGATCACTTTACCACTGATGAAATATAAAGACGTTATTAAAGTCATGATGAAATTAAAGGTCACTATTTCCTTAAAATTTACAATCTTGCTATTATTTCAGACTATGACTAAGAAATTACTTATTTTCATCACTCTCATCACACATTTTCCACACCCCTGCCCTATAGTCAAAAGTACCAATACTTCACTTCAAAGTTATCTCAAATTTAAAAACATGTTAGTATAATTTGCGTATTTGTATTCGTGCTCTGCAAGCGCTCATGGCAATTTTATTTAGTATTATTTTAATCAGTGTTTCTCACCTGGTTTGGCCGTGGTACCCATATTTTCCCATGGTCATTAAGCTGCGACCCACATTTTTATGAATTTCATCCTAGCTAATTTATCTCTCAAAAATGAGTGACACACACACACGTAAACTGTAAGAATATCACTAACACTGATGATTAAACACTATGGGCCCCAGTTTAACGATCTGAAACGCAAGTTTCAAGCGCGAAACGCAAGTAACTTTGTGGTCGGGTCTTGGGTGCTGTTGCTATTTTACCGGCGGGATAAATGGCTCTTGCGCCCGACGCAAGTTTAAAATGGGTTGGTCTGAAATAGCTTCATTATTCATAGGGCTGTCACTTTACGTTCGAAAATCGATTGCACAATCGAACGGACCAACCAACATAAGTATCGAAAACGAAAATAGGGAATCGATTTTAACGGCCTTCTCTCGGAGCGCGTCCAGCTCGTCACGACACGCCCGCAGCGAACGCGCGTCACACAACAACTGCAGGCTCTGACAAACACACATACAAACTATACTATACTTCTGGATAATGTGTCCCTTTTTACAACAAAAATGTGAATTCTGCCGGTATTCAGACAGTCTCATGCATACAGATGAGATACAGATTCGGCCTACAATCGCCTACGTAGGCGAAATTTGTTTGGCATTTCTAATCGTAAACACAGCCATGTCGAAGCCTGCAGTAATGTTTTTCATTGATGTAATGGCAGTCCACTCTGCTTATTGTTTTTCGAGAATCTTGCACTCCTGTTTGTCATTGTGCACGAAACTTCATGCCAATAAATCATCAGAAATATTGCTGACTTATGCGCGTCTCAAGCGCACTCTTTACGCTCGTCCTAACGCCTGTTAGTTGTCCGTGGATTTGCCTACATTTGGCGTTGAAAATGGAAATGTCTTTAGACATGGAAAATCAATTTTACAATCGATTCAATGAACATTTATGTCTCAAAAATCGATCAGGATTTTTTCACAAAAGTGACAGCCATATTCATAGGTGTGGTTTGGGCGTAACATGAAATAAACCAATCAGAGCGTCATCCAACATACCCTTTAAGAGCAGGTGCGCTTGTTGCATGGCAGATTGTTATTATTATGGCGGATTTAGCAGGCGCGCACCAGGAGAGGAGCCGAGGAGACCGACGTTCTTGTCAGGGCAGTGAAAGACAGAGAAGTGACGTTGTATGGGGACGGGAGATTTTTTTTTTCCTGGTTCTTAACGGACAAACTAATTTGTCAGATGTCCTTATATACATATGTGTCTTGCCACTATTGGGCAAACAGGTCTGATCCGTCATTACTACAATTAGCCTGAAAAATTTGGGTAAATGTGTAAGCTAGATTTAGGCCTACATTTTTTGACATCTTCACACCACAATGATTTCCCTCATGTGTTAATATTTTTCCTTGTTATAATGTATGATTTGCAAAAATAAAAACTGCTGCATCTGTGTGTTGATGAGAGAATCAAAGTTATGCGCGTTGTGCACCCGCTACATTATGGCCAAGCATGCGCGCTTAAAATAGCATTATGAACAACGCACAACGCGCCACTGACTTTAGACTGGGTTTTTTCTGGTCAGTGGCGGAATTGTTTTATAGAACAGCAAAATAGCAATAGGGAATGTTTGCGCCGAAACACGGCTCCTTTTTGCGCCGACCCGCCCAGGGAGCGCAAGTTCATTTCCTGTTTACCGACGTGCGCCTGTGGAGGGAAAAGCCCGCTTTGCGCGGATGCAAAATAGGAATGATACATGCGTCAGTGTACAAAGTCATTTGCGCCGGGTGCAAGATAGGGCCCTATAAGATTATAAAGTAAGGCTATTAAACAGAAGTCCCAAACTAGTTTTTCATAATAATATAGAGTCAGCAAGTTAGTATGAGGCATTACAGTCATCACTTTACAAGTGAAAATAAAGTGGAATTTTGGGATAAGGTTACAGAAATCGCACCTCCACATTTGCGAGCAAAATAAAAGAGTGTGCGCGTTTTTCGTTTTTCTGAGGTGTGACACTTTTTATTTTGTAGCAATTTGCGAAAATAACTTTAGAATAATGACGCTCAGGGATGCATTAATAAAAGTCTTGCATCAGAAAAACATTTAAAATTACGTGTTTGTTGTCATTTCTTTGACTGTACTCTTCGACCCACTCAGGGGTGCGTTTCCCAAAGCCAACTATGGTCGCAAGTTCCGTCGTTACCAATAGAGTTCAATGGAAATTGCGATCATAGCTTTCGGGAAACGCACTCCAGAACGGTCTTTCGACACTGATTTAAATTATTTAAACTATTATAGTATTTATTAATAGTTTGAATTTAGTTTTATTTGTAATATTTCAGATACATACAACTTTTGTAATTTTTATTAGTTTTCTTTTTTATAAAAATACTTTTATTCAGTTATTATTTATTTTATTTCAGCTTTAGTAATTACCAAAAAATATTTTTAACAGTTTTAGTTCACATTAACAATACTGACTCACAGTCAAATGCATTTCTTGATATTGATGTTGGTATGTCCTAAGAAAACGTCGGACAAAAACAAAAAGGATTTGTATATAATATTAAATCTAAACGCAGCCCAACAGACCTGCCACTGTCTACAGTATGTTGTTAATATTAATAAATCAATATTGATCCCCCCACAACATTTTTTTTTTTTTACTGTTCTTAATTATTTATTGGCTATTACTGTTTAATTACTTAAACTCGAAGGCTACAACCATTATTAATTTAATTTGTTAATATTTTTATTGAATCATATCAATAAAATATTATTTTGACTTAATTCAAAAGCATTTTTGGGTATCGAAAATCACAAAATTGCCCAGGTCATGGGTGTGATCCTAAAAATACAAACGCCTTGTACTCCTTTAAATAAAAGCATTTGCCATGTGCATAAGCACAAAAAGTACATTAAAACTATTGAAATTTTGGTATTGTGACAACCCTATTCCCCTCCAACCCATCAACTTCTCAAGTTCTGATGAAATTGCAAAATAAAAATGGGTTGCGAATGGCGTTTCATGTTGACATCAACGACCGCAAAAGCTTATTTTTATCAACACATAAAGCTTGGAAGACACAAACAGTGGCCATTACGAATAGGCAGCCGTCACCAATGATGGCAACCATGGCGGATAACGTGAAATACACCGGGGAAAGTGCAGCTGTAAGCCTAAATCCAGCATCCGCATCGATTCGCAATCCAATTAAACAGAATAACATAAGATAAGGCACACCAGGCAATCTCCAAGTTCTCAAACTTGATTCTTCTGTTAGACCCCAATTAATACTCCCCTACCCTCTCGTCCTTTTTAAACGGTATCAAAGCCAGCCACCCTCAGCCGTCTCTCTCCCCTGAGCGCGAATATTCGCTTAATTATTTAAAGGATACTTACTGGTTTATTAAATGAATGGATTTAATTGAACTGAAGATGCTTTCTCTAATGTCCTGCCTGAGGGTTCCTTTGGCCTTCAAGATCTCCACAAAGTACTGGAGAAAAAGAAAGAGACAGGAGGGAGAGAAAATTTAATTTTCAGACGCCACTCGTACATGACTCTTCATCTTACCGAGAGTGTCACCTCTCTTCGCATACCCTTGAGACAAAGCGAGAACAAATCTGTGGAGAGCTGAGCATTTTGCAGCAATGACATCTCAATTACCTCCAACGGCTTAATATGAGCTGCATATCTAACACAACTTCACTAGAGGTGGGAGACGACGTGAAGGAGGACGTGCGGTTTCTCGAAATAAGTTTTGATGGTCGACCGTTTAATTAGAATGCGGCGTTATAAAACAATGAGACGGACAGTTCAGTAGTGTGTTAGCATTTCAAACGGCCATTATTATGTTATACACAACCTGTATGAGTGAGATTCAAGTGTATATTTGTGGTTACACACAACATAATCTACATAATACGCACAGAAAAGGCTTTGAGATCTCAGCGATCTTAAAGGTAAAACCAATTAGCCGCAAAATAAAAGCCTTGAATAGGTTATAAACCATGAATTTCAAAAGAATAGCCCTGCGATGGTGTCAAGGACCACTCAATAAATAGAAAACCTTGTACTGTTGAAACTGTGAATAAAGCTCTCCAAGATAATTAGAATTTCAGATTTGTATTAATTAGGATATTCTAATGTTCAACACATTGCAACAAACGCATTATTCTGTTGCTGCTCTCCAGGATGACCGAGTCCAACCCTGACAAGTGTTTCTCCATCAGCGTATTGTTTGATAAAAGATCGGCTAATTCAGCCCATGGGCGTGTGTGTAATGTTGGGCCTGTAGAGAGACTAACCGTGACGACTAGATCCAGCTGTTCACAGTATCTTTGTTCGCTGTGCACTAGCTCACGGGCTGTGCGGCTCCTCTTCCTCTCCCAGCGGTCCCGCTGCTCCTGAATGTTGCGGCTGCCCATGGGGGTGAATGGACTCGGAGCAAAACTCATGGCCGACCAGTTGATGGTGCTGACTCCAGAACAGTGTTACTACCTACAATGCAGAAAATCACTATTAAAAAGCCATTACAATGACTGGTTGACCAATATTGCAATTTAATGACAGAAAATGAAATATATAAATCATTTGGAGTTATAATCAATTTATATAATCCATCAGCAATGAAATAAACACACAAACATACCTACATAATATATATATATGTAAATATATATAAGGGGTGTGATGGTACACATGATGTGCGATATTGACGAGACAATATTTTAACACTATTTTTAAGAAATCTTCAATGACGAAATTTATGACTCACAAAATGACTTTCACTATGAAATCACAAAATGGAAAACAATACAAGTGCAATTTTTAAATATTTAACAGTAATCATCTTCAGTTGTACTTTCTGAGTATCATATGCAGTAAAAACAATTTATCACAACAAGATCTATATGCTCGATGTCAATGACAGATGTAAGACTGAATAATTTGATAAAAATAATGTAATAATAATTGTTAATATATTATAATTTTGTAGCATTAGTACTATATATTATACATAGTTTTAATTTATTAAACTATTTCAGCCTTTTATATTTAATTGGGTTTGCTTATGTACGTTTTTTAATAATTAGTCTAATAATTTGATTAAAAATACAGAAAGTTCATATAGGCTATACATATTATAACATATACATATATAAACACACACACACTGTATATATACATGTATGGAAAAATAACTTTTTGTGATATTATATTATATTATGAATTAAACGATTATATTTATTATATTAAATTATTTAATATAATCATAAATTAAATATTACATTTTATAATTAATATTTAGATAAATAATACAATGACAAAGTTAAAATATATTTATTTTTAATAATATAATTATAACCTATAATCATTTTTATTATATTCTTATAATTTACTTAATTCTATAAAGTACTTATTGATAAAACAACCAATTCAAATAATATCATTTTAAATATTGCAGCCAATCAGCCATATATATTTTGTTGCGCTCAATGATCAATTATTTATAAAGCACTTTTAAAAAAAAATTCATTATTTATATGATTAGGGCATTGAAAATCCATATTTTGACATTTGTAAATTACAGTCAATAATACGGTAATATAACCAAGCGAGCGCCATTGGCTGCAAAGACCAAGTATAAGGGATGACCAGCGATTCTGTCCCCTGTGAATTCTTAATGACAAACAAACAACATATGCAGAGGGTAAGCCACCAATTAAGGGAAGCCAAGCCTACACACATCCTCAACAACACTGAACAACACACACTCTTGATCTATGACTTAGTATGTGCTCTCTCTCTCTCTCTCAGCTAAGTAAAGTCTCTCCATCATGGCTCCCTCCCCCAGCCGGTGGTGTTGTCCCTGGACTCCGGGGTGTCCTCTCTGCACTGCCTCATTAGTGTCAGCTCTAATGGAGCGTCAGGGCCAGAAAGAGGAACGAGACCAACACTTTAACAGCAATTAACCCTTGTTCCCTCCCGAGGGAGGCTGGCGTCAGCCCTTCTATAACACACTGTAAACAAGGCAGCCCGATCAACCCAAAAAGACCGAGAGGGCACACGAGCCGGTGTGCATATGAGCATCCATGAGGAGCGAAAGCACCAAGAAAGAAAAAAATCCCATCCCATATGCCTTTGTGGTGCCGGTCCCCTTGTTTGTACAAAACCTCCATAAAAACGCAGCAAACGTGAAATGCATCCCCTGAAGTTACGCGTGCCCCATGAAGCCTCTGCTAAGTGCTGCATCTGAAGCCATGGTCCATTTTTACCAGCAACTTACTGTAAATTGCATCACTCTCGGCACTCAAATAAGCAGTCAATTTCAAGAAATATTGCAGCATTTTAGGCCCAGTGAAGCCAATTAAAAGCCAGGAAAAGGAGGACTGGGGTCAGGAGTACCTAGTTAAAAAGACTAAATATGGAGCAACCAGCGGGGTTTGTTTGCGTAACTCAGCGCTTATATTAAATAAGACTGCTTTCTTTTGTTCAGGAGAATATGATTATATGCTTACAAACGGAGAATTACTGCAGACAAACTCTTGTTTTCTTAACAACACACTTGCATCTAAATATAGAGGTGTCGGGTAACACCTGTAAATGAAGCAGTGTAACATCATCAGAACAGGCAAGTCCACAGATCTGCCTCCCAGCAGAGCCACATGGAGCTGGAGCGCATCCAAACATTCCCACTCAATTTCACTGCTCTGATGGTTATGTTAAGATACGGTGTACATGATTTCACCAAGTACATCATGTTCCTGGATCACCCTCACCACAGCATTCTAATCCACCCATCAAATTTGAGGGACAAATTATCATGACTTTTTGCATGAATTAAGATTTTACTCATTTCCATGAGGTTTGCAGGTCAGGGAAGTTTACCTGATATGTCTAGGTTTTTTAATGTGGGATCCCCGAATATAGTAAAATTATTTGCATTTGGGTTCAGTTTGACACCAACAAAAAAAGTTCAAATAGACCTTATTGACTAGCTGGATTTGTTTTTATTGTATTTTTCTTTGTGTTTTTGCCACGGAAACATACTTCTATAGAGTCTACATTTATTCTGGGATGTTTAAAAAAAAATGAAATTTATGAAATATGATGTGTCCCATTGAGAAATTGTGTTTATAATCAGCTCGCAAAGCTAATAAAATTACCAGCCGTAACATTTTAGAATTAAGAGTAACACTTGACAATAAGGTTCCATTTGTTATCATTATTACTAGCAATGAAAAATATTCCTAAAGCATGTATTAATCTTAGTTAATGTTAATTTAAATGTAGGCTACAACTAATTCATTATTAGAATCAAAGATTGTAGGGCTATTTGATCATATTATTTAACGGACATGAAGAGTTGTATTTATTTATTTCTTACTAGCGTTAACAAAGATGAATAAATACTGTAACAAATGTATTGCTCATTGTTAGTTCATGTTTTTTAATGCATTAACTAATGGAAACTTGTTGTAAAGTGTAACTGAAAGTATATGAAAACAAACACACTTTAAACAAACTTCCAACCCTGATTGGTCTCAGGGTTCCCAAACAGAACCTGAGGGTTAAATAAACAAATAGGTTCATTAGAATCTAGTTGATTAACAATGAAATTCCTGTTGACACCGTGAATAGCAAAACTCTTCATGTCATGAAGTGAGTCCAGCGTGATGTTTATTTAATCTGTTTGTTAAAACAAAACTCTCACTTTCGACTTTGGATAACTATTTAAAAAACAGATGTTCAAATTATACACAAACCTTACCAAGTCGCCACTTTGAACGCATTACAAAGGCACTCTGCATTCATTTAAGTCACCGCTCGCGACTGACACAATATTCCATATTAAATATGACATACATGAACTAACGTTACTCAAAAAAAGAAACACTTGTTAGCATAGCATGCACTTCTGTTTTCATGTGTCTTTGAGGCTTAAACTATACTGTACAATATATTACTTCTTAATAAAGTCGCCATTCAAAGGAAATCTGTAACGTTTATAAAAGGATATAGATTAGCTATATAAACATAAAAACATTCCATACCTCTTGCTTTTCAAATTGAATACAGGCGCTCTTTCTTACGCTCTCAGAAGTTCCGGGTTTTACTGCGCTCTGATTGGTTCTCTCAACCATCGAAACTTTGCCGTCCCCCGTGACGTCATCAATACATTTAGTAGATATAGCGCTAGGGGTCATTTCACGAAAAGGGCGTCATTTAATATACTGTAAGTGTAAACCAATTACATTTATTTAAAAGTAGAAAAGCTGACGTCAACAAACAAACAAATAATAATAGTTAATATGAATTAGTCTTATTTGTCTTTCTCCGAAATGATATGGCTATAGGCCTATCTTATAATTACTATTATCCACTCATTTGTGTGTGTGTGTGTGTGTAGTTATATATATATATATATATATATATATATATATATATATATATATATATATATATATATATATATATATATATATTTTTTTTTTTGGGTTAGGTTTGTCACTAAGGAAACAATCCACAATGTGCCAGCATCAAATTCTATAAAAACACTTTGCAGTGTCATTTGTTATTTTGTTATCTGTCAGTTTACTTTCTCAGTTTACAGTTAGTAATTTTTTTTACTTTCTTTAAAAAAGGCATACACTTTTATAGAATGATTATTGTCTGACCACCACAGGCATGTTTTATACCCAAGATTAAAACTTTTGTGAGTGGATAGATTATTTATGACAAGTTTGTTTACGATCATTAAAAACAAGAAGGAGCACACATGAGAAAAGTACTTATGTAATTATGATGCTAAACAGACTGTCAAACCTCAAACTTGTGCGCCTTCAGAAGTGTCTGAGGCATGTTAGGTGAATCCAACAGCTTCAAAGCTGAAAAAAAAAATACTAAATTTATCTTCTAAATAAGACGAACCATTAATTTTACATTTAACTTCTGCATCTTAGGAGTTAAGAAAGGGAGTTTAGTCTATACTCCTGATGATTCATCTTAGGAAATGAAGGGAGGAGAAAACACATCTCAGCAAATTTCTGCTAATTATACAAGAGTGTTGGCAAGATGAAAGTGATGCCCCGTGATCAGACTTGGCACAGTAATAGCCCCCAACTCCTTATAGACAGTCCCTCTAATATAAGGAAATCCATTAGGACCCGCAAGTTGTAAAGTGCAACATCAACTTCTCAAACTACTGTATATGCTTCTCCTTCCTCTTCCCACAAACAAAAAGCTCGCAGCTCGACATCAGCGAGAACACTGACATCTAGTGTTGCCTGTGTGGCTATCTGAAGGTTTCCAGCCTCTGACCAACATGACAGATTGTGCAGCAACCTGCTGTATAATATATGACCAACAGGTATGATATTATAGTCCTCTTGCATTAAGAACAAATAAAGCATTGAGCTGGTATAAAGCATAATTTGGGCATTAAAATTAGACGAATTAGAGTTGTTGTGTATTGCACAAAAAGGCATTTTAATCATTCAGGATGTGATGTTACATCCAAACCATCATAGGCAATTACTTTTGACCCTTTCCCATAGGCTATTTCTTTTTTTTTTTTTTTTTTTTTTTTTTTTTTTTTGAATATGACAAAATTCCCCAGCAATGTTTGGTTCCCGGAACACTCGTTTTTGCTTATAAAAATAATACCTAAAAAAAATGTTGAATGTTATGATTTGGTTTCCAAAGAATTAACCAAAGGGAAACCAAAACTCAGAATACACTCTTTTTTAAACATCAGTAATTATTATATATTTTTGTTTCGAAAAAAAAAAGCTTTATTTTGCATGCTTCAGAGGGTCAAAGGGATAGTTCACCCCAAAATGAAATTTAGGCTAAGACCCGCGTTCACACCAAGGACGATAACTATAACGATAACGAGAAGTTCTCAATATAAAAGAATAGCAGAGTTCACACTACAACTATAACGATAACAGCACAGAGAAACAATATCGTTGGAATCACTTTCAGAATATTTTGTTTTTCAGCTGATGAACGATAAAAACAACGACAGCCAATCAGAATCCATTCTGCTTTAAGGGTGCAAGCATTTAAAGCAGCAGATGACGTAACAGCGGCACACGCTTATAGTAAACAGAATGATCGTCCGCTGGTGTGAACGCTGATATAGTTCTCATTCTTGGTGTGAATATGCCTTTACCCCTCATGTTGTTCCTAACCAGAATTATTTTCTTTCTTCCGTGTTTTGGTCTATACAATGAAAGTCAATGGGGTCCAAAACAATTTTTCAAAAGCACGTTTTGTTTTGATTGTAAGTGGACACAACTAATGGTAGTTTCGAATGATTCCTTTTATATGACCATAAATAATGGAGTATTTTAAGTAGATTTAGCTGCTTTGTGAAAACAAATCCACCAAAATGCACCGGCACGTGCGTCGAACCCAGAGGGTTAAACTATCATCTTTTGTGTCCCACAGAAGAAAATAAGTCATTCCGATTTGGAACGAGTGTGGCACAATTTCCATTTTTGAGGTGAACTATCCCATTAAAGCCACGCAGGACACAGTGAAAATATATTAGCCTACACAACTCAATATGCCCTTTAATACGACAACACTTACAGTGTGCAATGTTCCCCATATCATAAGAGCTGTTTCTCAAGTGCCAGATGAGACCGTGCCCTTGAGTTATGTTTTCTCTGTGAACCAAAAGCTCTTTGTGAACATACCTGAGACATCAATGTCAGGAGCAACTCTTCAGTTACAACTAAAAACTATTAAGTGAAACACATTCATTCTGGTGTTTATTTTCACATAGCTTTGTATCAGATCACCTATTAATGTGTATTATACGCATGTATAAGCTATTAAATCGTACAAGACTGAAAAAGGGGAAGCAATGTGAATCGTCAAACTGATAAAATACATCTTTAATGAGAGCTTCATTAAAATGTAAAATGTATGACAATATTGGCGGCTCTGCTCTTTATTGTTTTCAATTTTATTGTGTTTCCAGAACATTTGGTATTATAATAATTGGCCCCAAAACAGACCTGTGCAAATTAGGCCCATTTTGCCTCCAGGCTATTGAGGCATGAACAGTCAGAGACACCGCAGACAAAGGGTCCTTTTTCACCTGAGGAGAGAGGAAGGGGAAAAAAGCGGTAGGAGCGTCAATAATCTACACAAGTAAAGCAAGTCTCCCAAGGTTTTTCAGCCCTGTGGTGCATTATTCATACTCACCGTAGCCAGAGGACTCTTAATTGACCCTTGCTCCTCGCAAAACTTCACCAGATGAAAGAATGCAATGTTTTGTAATTCAACTTTTTTTTTTTTTTTGAGTCCCCCTCACTCCAACTCAATAGTATTGGATTTCTGTTCATGAATTATTCAGAAGCAAAAGAGAGAGGTAACCCTAAGCTTAGAGATGTCATAAGAAACTATGCTGCAACTGCAAAACATATCGAATCACTTAGACAAAAACAAACACGGACCCATCACAACAAATAGTGTTCGGGGCCCCGTGATCCCAAAGCCTTTTGAGGAATTTACAGGTCAATATTCTTATTTAACAGTTGAGATAAGAGCAAGGAAAGGGACTTTTGATTTTGAACAAATTATGGCGGCTGCGCGGCCGGACGTTAAGTGGCTTCATGAACACACTGTTTGCTGCTGAAGTACATGATTGTTCTCGTTAGTCTTAATTACTGGGATTTGTGATACACCGAGGGCATTAGAGGGCAGAGACTGTTTCAGGCTGTTTATAGTGATATTACAGACCTCATGAAATCAGTTTGGGGGCTTTTGATCCAGATCTATTAACTTGGAGGTCAGCTAAATGCAATTTTTGTTTTTTTTGTTAATACAAATTAAAACAAAATTAAACTGAATATTCAAACATGTTGAATATTAATTTAAACATATATCAGCGTTTAATAAAAAGAACCCAGTGTTGTCATCATTAACTGTAACTAGTAAAAAAAATATTTCCATTAATTGAAATAAAAGCTGAAAGCAAATACACAAAGAAAATCTTAACCTTAAAAAAACGTATAAATGCTAGAAAAATGTGAAATGTTGCCATGGCAAATAAAACTGAAATAATATATATATATATATATATATATATATATATTATATATATATAAATGTCAAAAGGGCATAACAAGATTTCTAATTTAAACTAAAAATGGTATAAATTAATATGAAAACTGAAAATATAAAATAAAAGCTCATTAAAAATATTACTATCATAGTATAATAACTTTTTAACTTTTTAAACTTTTGTTCTTTTTTTCCTTTGCTATGGCTAATATCTTTCATGTTTTTTTTCCTATTCATATTTTCGTCAATATTTTACATTTTTACTCACCTTGATGTGCACTTTTCCTCTTGTCCTCATTATTGATGTTGAAATAAAAAAACTTAATTACTTTTTTGTCATTCATTTTGTTGATGAGATTATTGCATATACTAACAAAGTCCTAAAGGTTAACCAAATTCACTATATAGCCTATGTTTTTAAAATGTACTCTCTCAAACAGAAAAAAAATGGTTACACTTTATTTTAAGGTGACTTGGGCCTACTGTAGTTACTTGCTCAAATAAGTACTGAGTAATATAAATTACTACAAAAACTACATGTACTTACTATAGAGTTACGGTTAGGGTTTGGTTTAGGGTTAGTTGTAATTATGCATAATTTGCTAGTATAACTAGCAAATACATGTAGTAGTGCAACTAAAAATAAAGTGCAAAAACTGTAAAAAACAGACCAAAATATGGTTGACTCATCTTAAATTACCGTCCAATCACATGCCCTCTAGAATGAGAGTGCCACGCCCCTAATACCTATTTAGGCCCTTTAACAAGTCCGACTCAAAAGAGGAAATACGTAAATAAGCCATGTCACTTCAAAGTCATCTGAATCAACTCTATACTTTCCCCGGATTTATTTGACCTTAAAACCATACCTTTAAAGTGTGCATATATGCTACTCTGGATTAGAAGGTAAATGATAGATTAAGTGCTGAAAATAAATCATGGACAAAGCTGAAAACACATCAACAGAGAATCGAAGGGGGTGAACAAGGCGAACAAATTGAAAGAGTGCAGAGGATTTTCAAAAGCAATTTGTTGTAACTGCCTATTGGTTGGCTTGATTAAAGTTCTCAATCGTCCCCCGCAACCCGACTCTCCATACTTGTCGCCGTTTCGGCATGTTTGAAAATGGTGAGCTCATTAAAGTAAAATGACTGTTTGGCCCTGGGGAAAAAATAATCACACGGAAACAAATAGACACAAAAAAGTGGAGTGACTCTCCAGTCGAGGAGGACCATAAAAAAAAAAAAAGAAAGTGTGCCGCTTGCAAAACCCAGCGGTTTTCATGGATAATGATAAACTGTCATGCCTGCAATTACCGCGAGCACAGGATGCCAGGGTTTTATGCGTGTCAATGAGGTTTGCTCCTAATTGACGATGGGGGACACTAACTCTCTTGAAAGCTGTCATTCAACCATCAAGCATTACGTCGAGAGGCTCACCTATTGAATTTTCGCCTGCGTTTTGCACGCGTGCGCTCCAGGTAGCGTTGTGTTTGTCATTTGTGAACGTCCATCACTGTTGCATTTGTTCTCAGGCGTCCACTTTTGGGAATGGAAATTAGAGCGTAAAAGTTTGCTCTGTGCACGGAGGGCCGGCTGTCACGCTTTCGCTGGAAACGCATCTAAAGTTAAACTCGTGTGACACTAAATGTCCAAGCCGCGTTTTACCTGTGGGACAGAGAGAATGTTTCGAGTTATGCTTGGGTTGTCACTGCATGTGTTTAACCAGCACCCAGACCTCTGGGATCCCATTTGAGTCAAAGCTGCTCCAGCAGTGCAAGTCATAGTGAACAAACAAGAGGCATCACATTCTTTTCATTGCAACCTTATTTTTAGCTGCCTTTTATCTCGTTATAATTGGTTTATTCTCTCAAGATGTTTTGTCTTTTATTTCAAAGTGATTAACTGCAAAGAGGGTCTGGTGAGCTCATGTTGCCTGTTTCATTTGAACATATTATTAGAAATCTTCTGTTCCTGATATGTCTGTTTTAATTATTAAGATTCATCCAACTTCAAGTGTGACTTGACAATGCAAATACACTCTTGGAAATGTCAAAAACAACCTATTAGCTACTTCTCAAGACAAAGTCTCACACTGGTTAGTTTAACTCATGTTTAAAGGGATTTAACAAGCCAACACTTTTATTTCTTTAATGTATACGTATAAGTAAAAGTTTAAGTGGTCCTGGTAACGACTTCTTTTCATTGACCATTTTCAATCACTCTTTTGACGTTTAATTAACGGTCCTGAACAACATACACATACAATTATAATATTAAAAAATAAATAAAAGTAATATATTACTATTGTATATGTATTAATAAAATAATAATGAAGTATATCATAATTATTAATAATAAGGAACTGGAATTTGTTTGTTTGTTTGTTTTTTGATTACATTAAAAATATATGATTTTCTAGAGCTGAAAAACTACAAACATGCTTAAATTGTTTACATTTTTTTGTAGGATATGTACTTTTTGCATATTTAATTTATGTGCGCGTGCATGCCTGCATCCCCTGAACTCCCCCAAAACCTGAATAAAGCAGCATGTGTTGCTTTTGAATAATCTGTATCACCATTAATGCTGCCTGACTCTGCCGTCTTAATTCGTGGCGAGTTAGTTTTGCCTGTAGCAGCTCAGTGTACCAGAATCCAGCAGCTCAGGATGTTTCTGTTGATTGGCAGTAGCACGCGAATCCCAATGAGTGTGTGATGTGTGAGGTCAGCTCAGTTATCCTCAGCGCCATTGTTTGCTGTAGCTTGCTTAACTTCCTCGATGCATGCCCAGAAACAAGGTGCCTCCATCTAATGATTCGCCTTCCAGAATCCCCCCCACAACCAATTCCCCCAATGGGTGCCGTGCTTTTAAACTCAGCTGAAAGCCTATTTACCCACAAATTAAAGCACAGCATCAATGTGGCACCAGTTCCAGTGCATTCGGAAAAACAGGGCAATTACTTGGAAAGAGCGCACCTTGGGAATAGCGCTCATCGCAGGAGAGTGGGTGCGAGTCGCAAAATATCTGGGGTTTGGGGCTCACACTGAATATGCAGAAAAAACTTTCACCATGAAGTTAAAAAAAAGAGGCATATCCCAAAAAAAAGAAAAAAGAGCGAAGTAGGAAAGCAGCAAAGAGTTTTTTGGGAGGGGGAAAACCTTGCTCGTTCATTACATCATGGACGTGGACTTCTACACTATGATTCTGAGGATGGCCTGGTTCCAGTGGGGATTCCTTTGTTGTCTTTGTTTTGGGTGTGGATTGACAGGCTCTTGGGAAAGGACGGAAAAGGGAATACTGCGGGAGAGGATAGGGAAATATCAGCTTCATGAGTTTCATGATACTTCGCACGCACTTTCAACCTACCATCCGTGTTAGATGCAAAGTATCCGTGCAAGGAAGAAATGCACAAAAACGTGCCTCCTTCTTGTGGTCCCTTTGGGACAAGCCGGCCTTGGGGAACTCCAAACTCCGCGCTGGCAGGGATACCAGTCACTAAGGGAATGGCAGGATATGTGCGCTGGATTGTAGAAAGTTTTTGATCACTCACAGTGGAAGTCACCAGCAGGGTTCTCCATATGCTATTTACCACGAATCAGTCTTACGTCTATCATGGTTTGTGCTTCTCGGTCACGGGGGATGTTTTACCTCTTGTTACTAATGCTGGAGTGTAAGTGAAACTCATGAGCAATAACTTTTCGGTAACCATCTTGTGCCTTCACATCATTAAAAAGCTTCTGAGGCAATCCAAGTAATTCAAAGCTTTTCAGAGAAAAGTTTATTTCTTAGATCAAACAAATATTTACCAGAGAGTTCTCAAATAACTTTTTAATGCTTGTGCAAAGGTTCAAAGGATTGATAATTTGAGAATTTAATTTTCCATCTGACTTGTTGTATATAAATTAAAAAATGTGCCATATTTCCGAGGTAAACACAAATATAGTCAAATATTCAACAGGAAAATAAATAAATATTCACCAAGAAAACAAAATGAAGGTCAAAACTTTTTGTAATTTTAAAACATTTTATCCATAGA